ATTATTATTATATTATTATTTTTTATGATTATTTATTAAATTATAATTTATGATTTCGTGTTTCAAATTTTATCATACCCGGGATGTTTACTAGACTCTTGTTCGGACAGATTTCAGTGAGTTATTCCTAAAAATTACAGGCTACAATAAAAAAACAACATATTTCCATGCAAAATAATGGTACCGCTTTCAGCACCAAAAATCTGAAATAATCATACCGCTAGGGAGGTTAAGTATGTATGAAAATAAGAGGTATTAAAAAAAATGATACACTTTGAAAAATGACAAACTGTATATATTTACATTTATTTTTACAGTATGTAGCACAAACAGTTAAAACATTTAACATGATATTTATACATTGTGGAGATTGTCAAAGGCACAGGATTAAGATCCATTGCAAGGCGTAAAGTACTGAGGAACACTGTTAGGAAAGTGATTCATTTATCACACCAGTAGCGTTAAGGGGTGACACTGTCAGATATTACTATGGTTCATGTGCTTTTCTGTACACTCATGGTACTTTGTAACTGGCAGCTAGATTTAAAGGTCAGAATTTGAAACAGAAATGATCATCATAATTCACTGTCAGGTAAGGGATCTATTACCCAGAATACATTTTTTATTGAAATGCTCATGTAGGCTGATATCCATTCTGGCTGTAATATTCATAATTTCGATTGACATTATCAAGCACTTCTTAAAGTGGACCTGAACTCAAGGAGTGAAGAGTTACTATATATGAAGAAACATCTAGACATAATATTTGTGCTTAAAGTGGAAGTAAAGTCCACTCTCTAACTTGTACCTGCAGGTAGGCCGATAATAAGGCTTTCCTGGAGGTCCAGTGAATATCTCTTCAACGTGCACTATTTAGGAGATATTCACACAGCATGCACCCGGTGACATCACTGACGCATGCTCTCTGAAGGGATAGCATACTCGTACCCTACCTTCAGAGCTCTGTGCCAGGGTCATTCATACAGCTGGAGTGCGCAAACCGGGAAGGAAGACCGGCTGGAGATGGATGTGCCCAGGAGCCATGACAGTGCTGTGCTGGAGAGTTCCATGTTCAGGTAAGTCTGTCATAATGTGCTAGTATGTGGTGCATACTAATACTTTATTACTTAAACCTGCAGGGGCATGATTTTGTTTTTTTGTGGTGGTTTACAACCTCTTTAACTTCTTCTGTGCTGCCCTATAGCAGAAATACTGCTACAGGGCAGCACGGGTGCACAAATCACATATATATATATATATATATATATATATATATATGTGATTTTGCAGTTCCGGGTAGGGGGCATGTGCGCGCGCCCTACCCGTGCTGCCATTTGCAGCCTCGGCTGTTAATCACTGGGTCCCGGGAGGTGATTCCCAGATGCCACCCAGCAATCTCCAACGATTTCCAATAGGGGAGAGACCTGTATATAAACAATACAGATCTCTCCCCTGTCAGCTCCTGCACACTGGTTTGTATGGCTCTGTATAGCAAAGCCATACAAAGCAGTGTGCTTACAGTGTAAAGCACACACACAGCACACAGTTAACCCTTTGATTGCCCTACATGTTAACCCTTTCCTGCCCAGTGCCATTAGTACAGTGTCAGTGCTTTTTATTAGCACTGATCACAGTATTGGTGTCACTGGGGATGTCAGTGACACCAAGTCAGTTCCTCCCCAGGGTCAGAATGCCTGCCACAGTCCCGATATAAGTTGCTGATCGCCGCCATTACTAGTAAAAACTAAATACATTTCCAGTATATATACCGCAACTTGTAAACACTATAACTTTCACGAAAACCAATTTACACGAATTGGAATTTTTTTTATCAAAGACATGTAGCAGAGTACATTTTGGCCTACATTTATGATGAAATTTGATTTTTTAAATATTTTTACTGGACATGTTTAATAGCAAAAAGTCAAAAAGATAGTTTTTTTTTTTTAAATTGTCATTTTTTTTTGTTTATAGCGCAAAAAATTAAAAACTCACAGGCGATCAAATACCACTGAAAGAAAGCTCTATTTGTGGGGAAAAAATGACATAAATTTAATTTGGGTGCAGTGTTGCATGACCGCACAATTGCCAGTTAAAGTAACGCAGCGCCGTATCGCAAAAAATGGCCTGGTCAGGAAGGGGGATAAATCCTCTGAAGTTGTTAAGCAGTACACTGAGGCTGGGCTCACACTATTGCATTGCAGTAACATGCACATCACCACATCATGCAGAAACATATATCATGCGCGTTGCTGCACTGTGGTGCCATACATTGGTAATGGCAGCGCAACACCTTACCATCGCACATGTGTTCCAGCACATCGCAATGCACAGTATAACACCATAATGCATTTTTATGAAGTCTGTTAGAAAGAATAGTGCATGCACCTTTTTTGATCCATTAGGCACCCTATTCAAGTGAATGAGCTGAAATATTGCAACACATGTTAATATGCTGCACAACACATGGTAATGCACTGCAGCAGTGTAAGTCCAGCCTTAGAGTTCTACCTTTTGTCTTGAATTACTCCTGAAAAATAGCAGTGCACTCCCTGACATATGACCGTGCCTAGGCACTCCTGTCCTGTATCCTCATAGCTGTATTTGCACTGCACATCCTTGTAAAACTCAGAGATGAAAAGGATTTTTCACAGACTTCCAAAGCAGGGGGTGGGGAGCTGAAATTACACACTGATAGCTGACTGGAGGTAAGGAACACACCCCACTTCACACAGCTCACAGGAACCGAACTAAGGCTGTCAAACACATTCTATGTGCTGGAGGTCCTTCCCCTGTCACCTTTTTAGCTCTTGGTGTCAGTAAAACTTGTCACAAGTGACTCATGCTGATAACAGAGAGACAAGTAAATACTATATAAATATGTGCTTTGTTTAGATGTCATGTGAGGTTTACAACCACTTTAATTTTCTGGCTCTTCTGGATTTCTATCTCTGCTTCACTAATATTTCCTCATCAGTCATCTGATCACCAGTAATTGGTGGGATGGGGGGCATCCCTTCTCCTTGTCAGAATGGTCATTTTCACACAGAAACACAGTATGGAGCAAAGCATGTATGTTAGTATTGAAGATAGGATCAGATGCTGGGAGCCTACAGGCAACACTGATTATTTCTATTGTTCTTTTCCCTATATTTGGACTTTTGGGTAAAACTTCCATTTTACAGGTCTTCCTATCCAAACAAAAAACCTTTTTATAGTTCACATATGTGTTAATTGTTAAATATAGCATTTTATTATTTTTTTGTTTGATGGAACTGGAAAGACTGTCAATACAAAAATACATACTTTAGTATTATTGGTAGCCAAGATGTGTCTGCCCTCATCACTGACAGCTATACTATTAACATTTACTGAACCTGTCTTTAATTTTTATAAAGATTTGGGTCTCTAATGCAGCAGAAAGAGCAAACCTATCCACAAGGGAATTCATTGGACTTTCCAGAGTTTCACCTCGGTGTGGTAAAATAAAATGATTTACATCTGGCCTTATTATAAAGCAATGAGCACATTTGCACAATGTTCTTTGCCTTTTTTCATAAAGGTCATGATGTTTGAAGTTAAGCATTTCACATATTTATGGAGAATTCCCGATATGCCGTTTTGTTGCTGTATATGGTAAAGTGCCATGCTTCTGGAATGAATGTTTGGAGCCAGTGCTTTGTTAAAGAATTGTGCTGTTTTTGGCCCACTCACACGATGGCTCCCTTTGGTCAACAAATTTGCAAGACAATTATTATAGGAAAAATGTGCTATTGATGAGACAGCTTGTTTGGGCCTTGGAGCATCTTATGACGTCTCTGTTGTTCGAGCTTTGGAGCATCTTCTTTGACACCTTGCATGCCCTAATGATTTACTGATCTATCCACAAGGGTCAAGAGTTGACCAGAAAAGAGCAGGTTAAAAAAAAGTAATTAGAAACTGTAATTATTGTGCTTTTGTGCTGCCAACTCCTGCCAATAAGTGCCTTATGGAGAACACAGTTCTGACTAGAGACGTTAATTTATTCAAACCCTAACTGAATGGTCCAGTTCACCCAGAAATATATTTTGGTGTGTAGACTGATTCACAAACTGCCTTCAAATGATGATCAGGTACTCTGTACAAGGACTTTCTAGAAGTACTTAGTGCAGCCCTCCCTTCAAGTAAACAAATGATAAATCTGGTTGATTAAAGTAATACCCACAATAAAGGCTGAGGGACAGGCTCAAAGGTCTAAGCCCAATAGCATCTACACAGGATTAATATCAATTTTGGCAGGACTGACCCTTTAAGTGGATAATTCATACTGTGATACACTAATTGGTTGCTTATGTTGATTTGCTTTTTATACAGCCCATAGGTAAGAAGCCAAATTTCTTCTTTCTAAGTGAAGTAAATAAACATCATGCTCAATTACATATACTACTCTTAAACCATTGCAACATATTGATTTCATAGGTATCCCCCAGGTAAGACGTAATATTTCAGAACACATGTTATCCCACCTTTTACTTAAAAGTATGTTAAACTTGTGCTAGTTTGGCCCTTAGATATTGTGCATGCCAAAAAGAAAAATATAATTAGAAATATTTATCTCAAAATAATCTCTTTAAAAGTAACAAATTTACAGATGACCAGTAAATGCAAGTACAATTGCCAAGTATGATAGAGGTACACTGTGTGGCAAGTTATACGCAGGAGAAAAAAGCACAGGTTGGTGTTTAGATCAAGAGCTCTATAATAGGAAGGACTTTGATCTCCCAGAGGGTCCTGATTAGAGAGAGTACATTTGCTTCATAACTTTATTTAACATGAGAAACATTCAAGTTGACTGAAACTGGGCACGAAGCAGATGAAACGAATAAATGACAAAAGCAAAATTGAGCTAAAAAGCAGCATCATTTCAAACAGAATAAGGGATGTATGTTCAGATTCAAAGGTGTTATCCACATGCAAGAATTTCAGGTTTCCTGTCTTTAGGAATTCTGTTTTATCTCTTTTTATGAAGAAAGGTTAGAAAAAGAAGACCTCTGGGAAGAAATACTACAAACTTCTAAGTTAGTGAAGGAGCTCCCTGCATCACTTGTGTATTCAGGATAAGATGATGTTGAGGATATTATATTTTTTAGTCTCTGAAGAGCAATAATCAGCAGCAAAAGAAGAAAGGCCAACAGGCTAAGAAAGATGGACACGTAGACGTAAACGTTTGATAAACGGTTGGGTGTTGATGATGTGGAATCCACTGAGGTTGAGAGGGAGGTAGGGAACAATTCCAAAAATGTTCCATTCCCGATGTCTTCTGGTAAAACTGCTGAAGGACCAAATCCAGACATAGTGGCATGGGCAAAGTGTTGACCTTTCAAAAAGATTCAACTCATGACATCTTTGAGAGCCACCAGTGATGTTATGATTCGGTCATCCACTTTAGTAGGGAAGGTCAGCCTGAAATATATAAGGCATTTTAATTGTATAATATATGCAGTGTTAAAGAAAACATTTTGACATTTCACTATGTTGCTTTGATCAATGCTAAATGATAGATACATTTTACCCAGAAGCTTGGTAGCGGAATTGTTAATGAAAGAGACACTGCAGGACAAAGTGACAGTGTCTCTGCAAAGAGCCTCCCTGATCTCTATATATTCACCTTAATAAAATTATATATAGTGCAGCGCTCAAGACTAAATCAAATACTACAATAACTGTGCTCACATGCAATAGGAAGTCATGCCCAGAGGAAGTCACGAGTGATAGTGACGTAACGCGTAGGCACGTTAGCACGCAAACTTCCGGTACGCGGCGATGCATTTCCGGCGCCAGCCGCCATCTTGGTATATCCAGGAAGTCCTTCTGATTACATGCAGCACACCCACATACTGGCTAAGGAAGAGTATGGACATATGTGAGTGGCTATGTTTATTTGAGCATGACCATTAAAGTGTTTTGGCCTTAATACTGCACTTAGAAGATTCTTCTTTTCTGTTCACTGGGTTGGTGAGCAATTGTTATCTAGAGGCTTCCGATTGGGGGTAATGGATGTACCCTAAAGTGATCTACAACGTCAAGAGAAGTGCTTGTCGCCAGGGGATAAGGATCCAGAGTGATCCTGAAAGCTGTTTGGCCCTTAGGGGTCGGTGTAAGGAGGTGAGGAGGCAATCTAGCCTTAGGAGGTGAAGAGTGACACGGTTGCGGAATAAGAACACATTTGTCTTGCACATTTTTTGCACATTGCATGAATTTATTAATATCAGTTTTCATGAACATTTCTAATATTTTTTTGGACTTTTTTGATTAGTATATAAAGTGTGGTCACGTTATTACACTTGGAGCACTGTGAAAATTATTTTCTCAAATGGTAGTTTATTTACTTTATATATATTTGTTTGATTATGTGGGCACTAAGTGATAGGGAATAAACCTGAGTGGCACTTTATAATGAAGATATCTCACCTAATGATTTGTTTTTGATTAATCTTGTGACACTATTGCATGTGAGCACAGTTATTGTAGTATTTGATTTAGTCTTGAGCGCTGCACTATATATAATTTTATTAATATTTACACTGTTTGGGTAGCAGGTTAAGTGCTGGCAGCTTCCAGTAGGTGTATTTCCCTTTTGCGCAGGAGGATCTCTGTCTGTATATATTCACCTTGCCTTCAGCAACCAGGGGGAATGGTGACATAATTTCCTCCATCATGTGTCACCGACAGAGAAAGAACCAGCAAGGTGGCAATGGTAGATGTGTATAAGGGGGTCATTAAGGGCATTTGGAGAGACCCTGTCACTTTGCCCTGCATGGACATTTTAATAGTTTCTCCTTACCTGCTTGAGCTTCCAACCAGTATACCTCTTATGGTCCACAGTCATTTTTACATTTCTGACATGATATACTTTGGCATTAACTTATGATAGCAAAGTAATACATATATCTTTTTTTTTTTGGGGGGGGGGGGGGGGGCAAAAATATTGTTACTGAATATTAAAAAGTTTACATTTTATTCTAAAATTTGTCTCCTGAAATGACACTTAAATTATGTTTCTGGTCCAAAGCATAGTGTTTTTTTTTACAAATGAAATAGTCTTTTTTAGAAAATGTTGTGTATTTATAGAAATTTGTTGCTGCAAAAAGAAATAAAAAAAAAAACAAAAACATTAACAAAATAAACAAAACACAGAAAAAAATATTAATGGTAATACATGAATACAAATTAGCAGAAAAACAATGGCTAAAGGAAGATGGGTGGATGGAGTTAATTAGGCATGTAGCAGGTACACCAAAGATAGGTGGTGGTCCATAATTAGCTAATGCATAGTTGTTTTCTTAATGTGAACCTGTCAAGTCCGAGAAAGAATCTAAGCTAGCAATATGGCAGGCAGCATGTAGGGTTTTGAAGCATCTACAGTGATCTTCAAATCAATATTTTGTGGGCTTTTACTTGGACAGTATTCAAGGCCCAGTGTATTGAAGAAAGTGCATATTACTAATTAACAGCTCTTGCTAAACAGGTGAAATATAATAACTCTATCTCAATTTTTTTTTTTTCAGGTGGGTGTTTGGGCTTACAGATATTATGTGTTTTGAGTTTGAGATTTATTTTATTTGAGTTTTATTTGTTGGGGTCTTTTATTTATATTTTTATGGGGTCAGCAGCATTAGCAGCATGGATCTGTTGCCACAAGAGTTGCCCTTTGTTTCCAGCGTAACACTGCAGATCATTCAGGTGCTGTTTACTGCACCAAGCACCATGATTTGCAGACAACCCAAACTCCACAATTTACATTGCACCCAAGAACCACTTCCCCACCATACAGTTCTTCCAATAGCTGCAAATAAAAGTAGGGAATAAACCCCCACATGATCAGCAACATGTCTGGCAGGCCTATAGGAAGAGGCAGATGTTCCCATTCAGCTATGAGAAGAGCAAACAGCCTTTGTGTCTACAGGCCAAAACAGCAGTCGTGGATGTTGTGTATCTGTATCCTTAAACAAATTACCTAGTAATGCACTAATACTTTACATACATAGTCCTCAGCAGCTGGTAAATAAAATCCCGTAGTGTTTAAACTCACAATCAACCAATAAACCAGTGCTCAGCAAGTGAAAACTTGAAGGACTATACTGCCAGCCTAAAAATAAATCAGCCTAATCCAATCAAGTTCAGTGATGTAAAGATCCACATGTTACTGTGATGAAAAAGTCTTGTATTACTACAGTATATATTCTTAGAATCTTCAAAATCAATTAAGTCCTTCAATGCCCTCATAACCCAAGTGAAAGAGGAGGCTTACCAGAATGTATTGACCCCTTATAAAAGTGAGTCATGCAGCGTTTTTCATACAGCACAGGATTGGAGTAAGCTCTGTGGGAATTTCCACATGTTTTCACTTGTTGATCATCTGTATCATCTCTCCTTCCAAAAATTGCAACCTGTTCAATAAAGGCTTATAAGTTGTCCTTCAAAACTGTCCAGTTTTTCTGTCTTTAAACTTAGAAAATACGTCTAAATTTTTTCTCTTTTTCTTTTACATTCAATCTGCCTGCTCTCTCCCTTTGGAATTGAGGAATATAAAAAAAAAAAAAAAACTTGAAGAAGTCCGCATCCATTTTTTGCAATTGTTTAAGCCTATGGTCTGAGAAAAAAGACTGCTTATCCCAGACCAGATCTTCCAGATCTCCCACTTATATAAAACATTTTTAAATAAGGAGTACATATTGTCCAATTGCTAATCAGTTCAGTTATTATGGCTTCTTTCTCTGATTTATATTTTAGGAGGAGCAAAGCTGCCTAGTCTTGCATTGTGGCCTAGTAAAAACACTTACATGCTGTGCTGCATGCCTCTGCAATATTTCTGGTTCTTGACTGTGACATAATAAGCCAAAATATTTTTTTTAACCAAATAAAATACACCTCATCTCTTCCTTTGACATAGTGGCCAAGCTCAGCTCACTTAATGGGCAGTAAGAGTCTACAATATTTTGGGTTGCTGTGTTTAGCATATCATACTCAAAATTTTACTCATCTCTCTCTCTCTCTCTCTCTCACATAGCTGCCTTAGGCCCCAATCAAGCTGCTTGCATGCTGTCCAGCTACAGTGTGAATTTTTGTGCTTTTGCCTCTAAAACCTGGCATTGTGATTTTTTTTTTGTTTGGCATAATAACTGCCGCAGCTCTATGTTGGTGGCTTGGGGCTGTTGTGATTCACTCTGTGTTGACATTTTTTTGAACTTTGTACCCAATACAGTGAGTTGCTAAATAGAAGATCACAACAAGCTCTGCCCTGTGATTTGTTTTGCCCCGTGTGGCAATTTATATGACGTTTACAAGGTTAATGCATAGTTGTTTATATGATGTTGGCATGGTGAATATAATTAGTTAATGCACAATTGTTTTTTGAAGTGAACCTATCAAGTTCCAGAAATAAGTTATGCTGTGATGTGGTTTGCCCGTTTGGCAATTTATATGACATTGACAAGGTGGACATAATTAGGTAATAGTTGTTTCTATGACGTTGGCAAGGTGAACATAATTTGTTAATGCACAGTTGTTTTCTTATATGCTAGATATATGCAAACATACCTGCCTATAGGCCATTCTTTCTGAATCCTTTTCCTATGCAGGTAATGATCTTCTATCTATTTGCCCTTAGTTTCCCAGCACAGAGACAATAGATTTTATCTTATGGTATCAATCTTTACACCTTTAAAGCCACATTGAGCTAATTTAACCCCATTTGATGATGGAATCTATGCTGGTGCTGTGAGCCTAGATCACTGATTAGCTTAGCTGATTCTTGAGGATATAGTGTATGTGATTTATTTTATACACTCATTATTTATGTTGTTGCACATGTTTAGATTTTATGGAAGTATCTTGTCTTCTGCCATGTGCAAAGTGTGCCAGCCATTAGGCCAGAGATGGGCCTGTTTCTGAGGGGGACGTTTGGGTCCTTCTTCTTGCCCCTGCGGAGGTCGCGGGTTTGAGCTCAACATTCCATTTCTCTTAGAAGGACAGAAAGTATTTTGAAGCATTATCTAACTAGTTCTAAATTAATTAATTTAATATGCAAAATTTGAATGTTCATTTGTTATGCTTTTTATATTTTCAATAGTATTTGACCCATGGCACTCTTGTTAAAGCGGATTTAACAATCCAGGAAATGTGTTGAGTCGAAGGCTGAATATCAAAATCTGCCAAAAAGAAACTGGATAATCGATAAATTGGGCATTGCCCCGATGTACTAACTTGAGTTGCCTTATACGGACAATATAGCAATAACTTTGGGTCATTATGTAATAACATTGTTTTTTTGTAATAAAAAAAAAAAATATGT